TCTATCTATCTATCTATCTATCTATCTATCTATCTATCTATCTATCTATCAGGAAAGCCAGATATAGAAAGGATGAAACTAGTTTCCTGCAAGCTTATTGTATCTGAGTCAGCATTTTTGCTCCATCTGATCACACTGAAAGTCATTTAAAAGAGCTTTATGTATATTCCAGGAGTGCCTGGGATCTTAGGGGAAAAGCTGCCAGACAGTCTTGCCAGAGTTCAGCTGAAGCCTGTTGTTGTTGAAGCCCAGCGGTCTCATCTAGATGTTGAATAGGAGCAGAGAGAGCACCGAACCCTGCGGCACCCCATACAGTAGGGGTTGAGAGCGGGGTCTCTCCTCCACAATCACCACCAACTGGAATCGACCCTGGAGAAAGGAGACGAACCAGCACAACACAGTGCCACCACCCCATTATAACATTTAAATAATTTAACAGTATTTTGTTATTAAAAATGAAGAGCAAAATATATTTCAGTATTAAGACAAGAACAAAAATTGCCATTATGGTAACTAATAGGTGATTTATTATTTAATTCACCAACTACAAGGTCTTAGTAGTGCTTTGCCTGTCTGCTATGATTCTGCAAGTGCCTTTCAATGAAGAAAAATAATTAAATAATTTTAAAAATGACCGTACGAGATAGAAGACACTGGTCTGATCTGGACTCAATAAAAATGTCATTAGGTTCTCTATAAAAATTGATTAAATAAAAGTGATTGCATAAACAAAATTCATATTCCCCAAAAATCAGGAGGAATAATCTTCATTGAATATTAGGTAGAATCCAGTGCATAGTTACAACTGCATCATTTTTATTTTGCATATATTAGAGTGGATAATAACATGATATCCAAATGTCATATTTATATGTATGTATTTAGGGATAGATGAAATAGCATCCTAATACCAGGCTTTGCAAAGTAATGGAATATAGTATCCCTTCATTCTGATATTTCAGGAGTTGGCCTTTGTAATGTACCATGAGAGAAAGTTCAAGATTCTTCCAGTTGCAGGCATCTTACATTTAACTGATAGGTCTTAGCAGCATGCACTCTTTGCATTATGTCGCACTATTTCTTACCAGATGTTCTCAGTCTTCACAAGAAAATTTGAAATAACTTGCACTACTTGACAAAATATGTATTCTGAGAAGGCAGAGAGAGATTCAGAAATATTTCTCAATGTTTGTTTTGTAGCAGTCATTTGATCTTATTTGTCCCTTTTTTCCTGAAAAGGAATGCATGTGGGTGGGAATTAGTAATTTATGGTTTAAGAGGCAGTATAGTGCAAGGTGCTGACAAGTTGATTATTTAACTAATTACTTCCCTTTTAATGTTAAAAAAAAGTGAATAGTACTTATGTTTCAGTGTGACTGAAGCAGGCATATAGAAATGTGTTTTTAGCAACTGAAATTGAAATCACAGAGCTGGTAACCAAACTGTTCACTTATAACCATAGAAATTTAAGTTTTCTGACTAGTAATAAACATAAAAGTTTAAAAGTTTTCAATTTAGGGAAAAAAAGCTCTCAGAAATTCACTGTTACCCAAATGTAGGGTAATCTATGTGAAAACACCTTTTGTTGTTGTTGTTGTTGATAAAGAGCAAGCAAATATTTTGATTGCTTACAACTATGCTTTCCTTTAGTTTTTCTGCACCAATTCTCTTCCTCTAGAGACTGCAGAATTGGAAAAGACTCCTCGGCTTCCTGGAAGGTATTTAAGACAAGGCCTTTTCCCCAGGCATTAGAGCTGAGAGGTTAGAGGAGCCCAATATACATGTGTCTGTTTTGTGGGTTTGCTATACAGATAGTTCTCATTTAGTGACCTCAGTTGGGAACGGCAACTCAGTTGTTAAGCAAAGCAGTTGCTAAGTGAAACTGCAACTGTGCTTATGATGTTACTTCAACTTTCCTTTTCTTTACAGACCTATGAAGGTCATAAATGTGAGGATTGGTTGCAAAGTTACTTTTTCATCATTGTTGCAACTGTAAATGTCACTGTATGAGGCAACTGTTAAATGAGGACTATCTGTATGGTGCCTTGGTCTTTTTTTGTACTGGATTTTTTTTTTAACTTTGGTTATGGGAGTTCTTTTTATATCATTTTTCTTGTACACTGGTTGGTAGTTGCCCAGAGTTATATATTTCAGATGGGCAAGCATATAAATTTTCTAAATAAATAAATCAACTTATAGCCTATTCAAGTTTAATAATACTTTGGTTTGTTGTGGTTAAACTGGCAAAGTAACTGTTGAAACTTGATCAAAATATTAAAACTAGACCTGCTGTCTTCTGTTTGTAATTACTAACAATCTTTTCCTAACCTTTTTGGATTTTGAAAGCATGGTGTCAGTCACTTTAAAAAATGGCTGCCATGGGTCCAGTCTGCCACAAAATATATGTACCAGAAGAAAAAGAGTGAGGATATTCACTTTCAGCACTCACTATGTTCAGAATACCTTTGTCTTTTGGAGCAGGAGACAAAATACTGAACTGCAGCCTCTTGCCTTTTTCATTTTCTATTTATTTTATTTTCTAAGAATAGACCATATACATCCCAAAGACATTCTTTAAGATAAAGATGAAGCATATTTCCTTTCTATTTTACATTTAAAAGCTCTAAAACATTAAAAGTTAGTTGGGATTGGGGCTTGTTGGAAGATTTTATACTAGAGAAATGGATCTACAGTATTACCTGCCCATAGTTTTTTAAAGAAGCTGCACCTTTTCCTGGGCTTACAGTCTGCCAGGGTATTCTGATCCATGCAGCAAGTAAGCCCACTCTGCCTAAAGCACCTTCTTTGCTTTGCATCTATACCCTGAAATACAAATCCTAGAATTCCTAAATAGAGCTTGTTTGTTTGGGGTAGCAGAGTAGTGGGATACTCTGAGTAGTGATGCCAATGGCAGCAACAGAATTTATTTCTTGATCAGCCAGTAACAACTGCCTTTTCTTCAACATGACTTGGATACTGAAATATTTGTGGATGAAAATCAGCTGGAATTCTCTGGTTTAACAACTCATGTATATTTGTGTCAATAGACTTAATTTTTCACTTATATAAGAGAAGACTTAACAAGCAGCAAACCTGTTAAAATCTGTGGTAACAACAATCTTAACTAAAATGGAACTCTTCAGATTACCTAGAAGTGAGAAAGTATGTTCAATCACACTGAAAGTCTGTTATGAATGACTGCCTGTCTGATATTTGAAAGCATGAAGCAGTGAGAGATTGTGGGAAAATGGAAGATGAGATGCTTGGTTTATCTGAGAAGAGGCAACTCAGTCCAGATGTGAGAAAGATGGAAAGAAAAACTGTTTCAAATATACTCCGCTTTAATTAACTCAGTATAACTGAGGCGGAAATCTACTTGTACAGTTTTCAAATTCCGTATTTAGCCCAAACTAGCATTAACGATATCTTCACAAAATCCACAATGTTCTTGCTTCCTTGATTTTGCCAGCTATGTGGAACTCCAAAAAAATGACACACGATTTTGTGGAAGTAAACTCTATGGTTTCTGCCATTTAATTTTCTGCTATCATCTATTTATTCCTAAAATGCAGATAGGACTTTTCCTGATGTTTCAGTAATGGTTTAGACATGCAATATGAATGTCCAGATGAGACTGATGTGTATACTCATTTTACACTCACATTTCCCTTTTTCCGGCATTAACCATGGCATTAGTGTTATGTTGCAATGATGGTTAAAATTAATTATGGTTAGTTTTAACTGACATTTGGAAAGTAGTTGAAATCCTGGCTTCAAACTTCTCAGTGCAGATGGAACATTATACCATGATTAATACTGAAGATGGAACACTACACTGAGAAAAAAAAGTAGCATTAGTATGCAATAATACACAACATTCCAAGTCTTAATGATTGTTAACAGAACATGGAATATTTTGCCTCCCCCAAACTATTGTCTCTGAAGTCTGAATTGTTTTGTGTGTGTGTGTGTGTGTGTGTGTTTTAAGACTTAGCATGTAACTTTTTTTGAATATAGGAAATACTTTAAACTTCAAATCATCTGGAACTAGATGGGGGCAGCGTTTCAGGGACAGTTGGTATATCTTCAACATAGGGTCTTATACCTTTTTTTCCTCCACATTAATCACCTGTTTCTGCTACTTCATCAGTTCTGTACTTGATGGCTAAGAGCAGGATATTTGACATTATTATCAAAGGACAAGCTTATACTTTAACAAACTGAGTTAACGTATATAAAGAAAACAAAATGATTTCTGTTCTGTGATCATTCCCTGGGCCTTCTGAAGGTCAAGGTGCTCAGATCAGAAATGAAGGATAATACACTACAGAAAGGAGATATTGTACGTGCATGCAGCTGCATCAAACACTTTTGCATGCAGCCCTAAAACCTACTTTTGCACATGACTCTTAACAATTCAGTCAACCAAAGAGAGGGAAAAAGGAACCCTAATGACTATTGCTGTGATACCGTTGGAGGCAGATTACTTATATTCCCAGGATTGGTTATGAGTTGTACATTCCAAAGTATACTGTCTCAATTTCAACACTATTCCAGAGAGGTGTGGTCTTAAGTAGATTTAGCAGTTTTTAATAGGAGGTAGTGTTAGATTCAGATTCATTTGCGGTGGGAGTAGAACTGAAATTGATATGGATCAGGTGCAAGTTTCCAGAATAAATTTTTCAACTTACCATTTTCTGTTGCTTTGCTTAATAAAAAGAACATAAGACACAGTTTGCCTCAGGAAATGCCATTAAGGATTCCTGCTAAATGATAGCATCGGTATCTGTTTTCACCATACATACATCCAGACTGATCAGTAAACTGTGGAGTAGAAGGTGTTTAGATAAACAAAAAGCACATGCACATCTCCAGAAGCAATTCTGGACAGTTGAGCACGTTGTGATATTGATAGCCTCCTGCATAGGCACTATGTGACTAGAATAGGACTTGGTTTATCAGAATAATATGTTTGGATAATATTAATTTAAGTCACGTTGATTCCATGTCTAAACAGATAAAAGGTTTGGATAGAGGGCAGTGACAATTCTGCTTTAAGGGTACAACCTGGATATCATACTGAAAGTGTGAACAAAACCTATTATTATACTAGTACAACAGCATAAAAAATTGGCATGCAAACAGCATGTTTTCAGATGTCCTATTTTGCCTGTGCGATTTTTAAATACAACAGTGGTCAGATAATTAAAAAAAAAAAAGAGTAACTATGGACTCAATTTAATCCTAATCTTTGTTTCCAGATCTTTTCATAACCAGAGCAAGATGGAACTCATCTCTTTGACAGAAGAATCTGCATAACATGTCTCTCAGATAATTGGTCCATCTACTACAACACTGTCCACACTTCCAAGAGTCTTCCTACACAATAAATTCCTCTATATACATTCAAGGTGTGTCTGTTCCAGCTTATGATAATGAAAATTCCATTGTCCAGCATGCAAATATATAAAGGATACAAGCATAAACTCTTGACATTTCAGCTTCTACTATTATAAAGTTAAAGCTACAGCACAGAGAAACAATTTTCTTGGGCCAAACTGGATGCTTAACTCATCATCAGAATGTCTATCAAAATTGTGGGATGGAATGAAGAAAGGTTTAACCCATTTCTGTCTACTTGTAATTACAAAATAAATCACCCAGCAATCCTTCCCCCCCACCAAAAAAGCTTTCATTAGCACCACCAAAGGCTTAAATTTCTTCATATATGCAGTGTTACCTTAACAAATCAGGCTTTACCACCATTATATTTTTAATTGACATACTTTCAAATAGTGAGTTCAGGGTCATATCCTGTTGAAATATTTTTAAAATATATATTTAGTCATGTCACTATATATTTGAGCATCGTAGAAGTAAAGAAGGAGTTCTACTAAAATTATGAAAACTGCTCAAAGAATCTGATTGCGCAACTTCTGTTTGGTAAGTTTTGATGCAGAAAATGCCACACCAATGTACCGTGCCTTATCCATAATGCAGAAATAGATGACAGCAGTAGCTCGTGTCCAGTTTCTATTTAGTTGTAACATAGTTTAATAACTTCACAACAGAAATGTAGTTGAGGATAACAAGCAGATTTCTTTTAGTAATTAGGTCACATGGTAGAAAAAGCATTGAATAAAATGCTTTCTGGCCTATTTATATAATCCCCCTCAGAAAAGCAATGTAGTTACTTGAAAGCTACAAAGATATAAAGTATGCATACTTCCTTAAGTTTTATTTTTTAATTAAGGTAACTTACAGAAAAAAGAGCGAGTTGAAATTTTGTTTTGCAAGGCTTATTTTCTTGTCAGAATAGTACATGGCTGCTGCACAGTCTCTTTAAAGATACTTCCCCTTTTGTTAACTGTGCATGGCGGAGTAGAGTCACCAAATGAGTCATCACTTAAATATGCACTGAGGAGGAGGGGAAGCAACATAGTGCATACAGAGTATTTTCACATTTTGGAGCAACACAATTTGAATACGATTTCTGTGCAAGGAAAACTTTTATATGTAAATTCAAAGTGATTTGTGGCAGGTTTTTTCGCACTCAGTGAAATGCACTATTTCTCTTTCTAAATAAGCATATCTTCATATTCCACTGAGCTACCTATGATTCCCCTTCTATCTTCAATTTGTACTTAGAAACCACAATATTTACAAATTTAACGTTTATTGTTTTTATTCTCAGAATCATGGTTTCGGATCCACAACTAGAGTGTGCATAAGAGTGCAACACCTCAAAAAATATAAAGTAGGCTTGTCACCAAAAACGTGGTTTTTAATTTTTTTTCTACTATACATAATTATCATACTGTATATGTAGTGCTTTGGTGAGAAATTGGAACTTCACAAAATATCTCATCCCCCCTCTTTTTTTTACTTATTTACTTAAAGCTACTGTATATAATTCTGGAAACAATTGCTTTGTGAAAAGTAGAGTAATAAAACAATACAAATTGATCAGAATGCCAAATAAGATATTTTAATCAAATACAGATGTTTTAGCCATTGTTTATTTTAGCATAGGAGATCTAGCTGAATGTTCCCCAAGAACAAAACCCAGGGTGGGGGAGCATAACATGAAGCCAAGCCCTTAGCTTTTCCTTTGCAGAACTGCTTGTTCTCTCCCTAGTTCTCCTGCTGCCAGTGAATTAGAGGCCTGTAGCAGGAGGTGCAGAAGACTGATTTTGCCTACTTGCTAGCAGCAGCTTAGTTCCTTTTCTCCCCTTCCTAGGATAACAGGAAGAGGGCTAGGCTTCAGTATAAATTCTCCTACCATGCCAGGTTTTTGCCCTCTAAAAATAGCTGTTGAAAACTAGAGTTCTGCACTAGAATCAGATATGATGGCAGTCATGTTAGGCAAAGTAGCACATATGTTGTGTTGAATGAATGGACTTACAGTCAAAGTTGCCCCTTAAATATACACTAGTGGTTCTTTAAAAATACAGTAGAGTCTTGCTTATCCGACATAAACGGCCCGGTAGAATGTCGGATAACACACAGTAATGATTGAGTACGGTTAAAAAAAAAAACGATCCACTGTGCCTGTTGCAATTGATTTTTGCGTTGCGGCACCGCACCATCAGGAGCAACAAGAAACAGTACACTCATGCTCGCAAACAAGTGGCACACTTTTCTTGTCGCCGATTTATGCGTGTTGTGTTTTTTTTAGGGGCATTGGATAAGACGGAATGTCGGATAAGCGAAGGTCGGTTAAACGAGACTACTGTAATTCATTTTGATTACCCAGTTAGTTCAAGAACCTATTATAAGAGTCAGTGGCCTTGGGACTAATTCCAATTACTTCTATATACAATGAGAATATACTCAACCATCTTCTTGTTTATTCACCCATAAACTTCTCCATGCTGCTATAATTATTACCTACCTCAAATTTTCAATGCTGCTGCACTCTACACTGTGGAATTTTGCAGCCTAAGAGCTACAGATAATGTCCATAAAGAGAACTAACTTTTAATAAATAACTATGCACAGCTTGCATTGTAGGTCAAAGATTCATAAGGACAAGATTCCCCAAAATTTATTTAGCCAAGAGGGTAGCTGAGCCGCTATGGCTTGGAGCCTGCTTTGTTCACCTTTCTTCCACCATATCCTTTTAAAACAGCAAGCATCCTTCCTACAATGGCTTCCCTTCAGGTCTGGAAGAGAACTGAAGTTTTGATAAACTGAAAATGTGTATAACTGTCTCCATATTAGTTAAATGTCTTAACTGATAACATTCAATATGGATTCTTTGAACCTTATTTTAAACTTTTATTTAGTCCAAATACCTTAAATAATTATTCAACAAATACCTTAAATAATTATTCAGACCCTGTTTCAGTATTCTTCAGGTAAGGAAGGAAGGGGTCCATCAAAGACTGATTAAAGTTAAGGTCTGGATTGACTACTTGGTGGAAATAGAAACAGATTTTGTCAAAGTTCTGCCATTATGAAATTCACCTGCTTTGCTGTATGACAGCCACCACTTGGGATCAAAGACAGGGTGTGTAATGGTCTGTTAGAAACTCTTGTTGCACATACTGGGAGTAAGATGGGCATAAAGATTCACCTTCCTTTGTTAAAATGGGAACATAGATGGCCAATTGAGATGCCTAATGTTTCTTGCTGAACCTTTACACAATCCTGTATAGTTCAGCTAATGTCACTTATGTGATTGCAATAGATTGGCAATAGATAACAGCAGGCATGGAAAGGGACATTTCAAGAATGGGGCAGTTTTAAAATCAGGATTTAAAGCTTTTCTCTTCTCCTCTGAGGGAATAGAGAAGGAAAATAAAAAGATATCAGAACTGCCAGGAGAAAAACCCTGGTAAACAGCACTAACAATCCCAACCTTGGACAATAGTGTACAATAGTGGCTTCTTCACAAATTAAATACCAGCTCATAATTAATTCTGTTTCAAAACTATCATTTAAATGATCCACTTTTGTGTTCTAGAATCAGCTCTGTACCTCTGTATTCTCACACCATTGTCTGTGTGAGACAGCTGAGCTAATTTATTTCCAACTCAACTGTGATGTATCTAAAATGGGAAAAAGCAACCATCTTTCTCTTTACAATGATAAAACTTTGCAGAGCTTGAGAAGTCTGATTTCCCACAAGTGGAAGCTCCTGTTGTACCCCTCTTCCCAGCTCCCAGATTTCAGCTGATTTAGCATTCTGTTTGTGGTCCTTAAAAGGGAAAAGTATCTTCTTGGCTTTATGACTACCTCCATCAACAGCAACCACTAAGATATATATATTTTTTTGCATATGACCAGACACAGCTCTCTGTTGATTCCACTTTAAAACACAACCAGGATTAATGTGGGCTATTTTGATTCTTTACAGATCCTTGTAACTGTTCCTGAGGAAAAGAACTTCAAATCTCATAGTAATAGTATCTCTCTTTTATTATTTAAAGCAGTCATGTCCTTTGTCAGGACTCCATGTAAGCCTGAAAAAGACATAGCTACTTTAATGAATAGCAGAGAACTGCTGGAAAAAAATGTTCTAAAGCATTTTTTTCCAAATTATTTTTGAAGCATAAAGAGCCCTAATGCAAAGTTGCTTAGCAAATGGAACTGGACTTCTGTCAGTTTCCTCCTTTTGTTCAGGAGAGGCCAGCTTTCATATAATGTTTCAAACGGCTTGAAGGAAATGCATATATGCATATATATTTGACCATATATATTTATATGATGGAGGATAGTGCTTTATTAATTGTTCTCTTTCTCTTTTAAGAGGAATGGGAGAGAAACCTAAAGAATTCTATTCATGTTGTAAATACTGTACAGACTACAGGTACAATAGGGCCTTGACCCAACCCTGTGCTGACAAAGCCAGGCTGGGCCCACTTAACAACTTCTCTGTTTAGTGACTGTTCAAAGTTACGATGGCACTGAAAAGGTTACTTTACAACTGGCCCTCGCACTTACGACTGTCGCAGAGTCCCCACAGTCATGTGATCAAGATTCAGGTGCTTTGCACCTGACAGGCATTTATGACTGTCACAGCATCCTGCAGTCATGTGATTGCTATTTGCGCACTTCGCAGCCAGCTTTTGACAAGCAGAGTCAGTGGACAAGCTGGCAGTCAGTTGCAAGTCACAGTCATGTGATGCCTCACTTAATGACTGCGAGTGATTCACTTAACAACCATGGCAGAAGTGAGGCCGTAAGTCCATTGTGGTCACGTGGTGCCTCACTTAACGACCACATTGCTTAGCAATGGAGTTGCCAGAATTGTGGTCATTAAATGAGGTCTAACCATATATCTTCTGTCTTCTCTGTCCACTGCAATAACATGCAACAATGTAACAGTTTCTGAGAATAGTTCTTGGGTGCAAAATTCACCATTACAGCTAATAATAGGCTTTCAATTCCAACAGAAGAATAGTGGATTGGTAGCTATTCATTATAACCACTATTCAGATTTTTAAAAAATGGCAAATGACCAGAAAAATGTGTCAATATGTTTTGAAAACATGAATTGGAGGGTGGTGCTAGCAATTTATTTCTTTATGAGTAGGGGATAAGAGGATTTTTGTTGCTCCAGGACTTGTGGTTCTTTTGGCATGGCACTGATTTTTATGGGATGTTTTGCAGATTTCTAATGGTCATCTGAAAGGAGAACACTAATTAGCTCTGGATTTTTCTGTGTTCTAAAGGGAAGATGACCATAAGGCTTCAAAATAACTTCAAAACAGTTAAGGGGTGGAAAATTTCCATGATTTATTTAAAAGTTCCACCGACTTAAATTTAACAGCTCTTATACTGACTGAAACATTTATGTATGTCCTTGAATAATCTTAGGGTTAGCCCTGTTCTTAAGATGGGATAGGATCACTATTTATATTCACAACTCAACAGATTTGTTTTCTTTTTGTTCAGAAAATCTGATACTTCTATAGCAGAATAGAGAGGAAGTAGAAAACAAGCAATACATTAGATCAGTGTCAACAACATAGCACCCAAGTCCATGGGGGCATCCATCACCAGTACAAATAATTCCCAGAAACACCCCCCGCTTTTGTAAAAAAAGCCTGGCAAACATCTTATGAGATTGTCAAATTTGGGGGAAATTATAGCAACCATGAGATTATAGTGAATCCATAGAAAGCTTGCACTATTCAACTATCAAATGATATTTAATGCTTTTTAAGGTAACAGGGCCATCACATGATATTGCATGATGGTGCATAGAACCTGAAAAAGTTGCCAACTGACTTAAACAATATAACAAATTAGAATACATACACTTTTGTTAATATCTCTGTAGAAAAAAAATCAGTAGAGATAAGAGATCAGTAGATACTCATTTTTTCTGT